CTGCTCCCTTGTGGGGGGGGGGGGGGGGGGGATCTGTGCTGAGCAGATGTTATCAACTGGGGACGCGGTAGCTGACGAGAGGCTTTTCCCACAGTGGTGCCTCCGGTGCTGCCGCCTCCCCGGGAGGATGCTCGTCTCTCCCCAAAGCTCCCGCTGCTGCGGTTTGTCTCTCCCGGCTCCGTGGTGTAAAGTACAGGGCCAGGTGAAGCAGACAGCCCGTTTCCAAGCCGGGTGCTCATGCAGCAGCATCTCTGCACGGCCAGATCCCGCTGCCAGCCTCGGCTGCCGTGGCAGTGGGCAGGGCTGGATGGGTCAGGGGGATAATTTAGGTCCATAACTGGGTGAGTACCCAGCAAACAGGAGGGAGCTGAGATTCACCAGGGAAGGGAGAGCAGCAGGCGCTCCCGAGGAAGCCTGAAGCTACATTTTGGGGTGTGGAGACACATGAAAGAGACTCAGCAGTCACCATTGTCCCCCACCAGCAAGCACCCAGGGACAGGCTCACCCTCTTGGCTTGAAATGAAAACTTCCCAGGGGATTTGTGATGTTTGTCTCCTGCCCATGAGGGAGAGGATGGGAGCCCTCGTCCCAGCAAAGCACCAACCCCTTGCTCCTGCATCACTGGGAGTTTCCTAAACCCCAAAGTTTAAGGTGACATGCAGTGGCCAGCCAGCGTGGCGTTCTGTACCCTTGCTCTCAGTTTGCATGCTGTAATCGCCTAGCTTGGAAAGGAGAGTTGGGAAAGTCCAGCGTGGGGCACTGGAATACCTGAGCCATCAAAAGGAAAACTGCATCACTTTAAAGGAGAGGGTGAGCACCTACACCCGAAGACAGGATGGCTCAGGCAGAGGAGTGCAAGGTGCGGAGGCTTCATCGGGAGCATTGAAGGTGGCGGGAAGCCGGATTGCTCCATCCCACAAAGTGGGAACAAGCAGATAAAGAGCAGAATCAAAAAGCAACTGACTGCAAAAAGTTATAGGGAACGATTTTTCCATGCTGGCACCATGTCCCGACTCTCAGCTGAAACCACGGCAAGCATTTTTTAAGGAATTTGACATTTATGCTCGTTAGAGGGGTTGCACAACTGCTCCAGCGGCCAGGAGCCTGCACTCATCCCCGGCTGAGCGGGCAGTGTCCGGAGCCAAGCTCTGGCCCAGGGCTCCCAGCCTGGGACCACTCGCTGTATCCCTGTGGGTCCGAGCAGCTGGGACTGGCCCTGTGTGGGTGCTGGGGCGGCTTCAGCATCTCTTCTTGGGTGCAGACTCTGTGCAAGGCCGGCGCCGGGGACCCCCACATGTAGCCGGTGTTTTGGAGGGGGAGAGGTACCCGCTGTCCTCTGGAGCATCGGTGCCAGAGCAGGGCAGGGGATGGGGACTCAGCAGCCACCGATGGAAGCCGGGGCTTGATTAACGCGCGGGTGCATGATTAACGGTGATGACTCTTGGCAAATGGGATTCATCTTCGGTCATTTCTTTGAACGTGAGTCAGAGGCGGCAGACGGGAAAGGCTGTTAGAGCAGCGCGGGGAGGTCACAGGCCAGCGGGGCCGTGCCGGGGCGGTGGGAGGGATGGCTGGGATCAGCTGCGGTGCCCGGGCAGCGTTCCCACACCGGCACTGGGGTCACCCACTCCAGGATGCACTGGATGAGGGGGAAGTTGGCTTTTCACCCACCGGTGGGAAACAGCAGCGCTCCCCAGGGAGCACCCAGGAGCACCAGGAAACTTGAGCAACTGGGAAAAACACTCAGGCTCTTGAGCTTAAAAAAACCCTGTTTTCCTCTAATTGTAAGTGCTTGTTTGTTCATTAAAAGGAAATGGCACCGTGCTCCTGGGGCACGCAAGAGCTGGCAACCTGCCTGGGGTTGTGCAGGTGGCAGGCTGGGCGCAGCACCCCAAGAAAAAGCCCAGGTGATGAAGGTGCTGCAGGAACCCGATTTAAAACCGACGTACGTGAGCGCTGGAGCCCGACCACCCCGCACACAACCCAGAAAGCCAGCAAACTCCCAAGTCTGCAGCCCAAAGGTGATGTCCTGGTCCTGTCCACTGCCCTGCTCCAGCCTCCTCAGCCCCGCTCCAGCCCCTCAGCCCCACTTCAGCCCCCTCAGCTCCCTCAGCCTCAGCGCGGGAACTGCAGCAGCCTGGAACCTTTCCTCATCACTCCCTGGTGGTCTAGTGGTTAGGATTCGGCGCTCTCACCGCCGCGGCCCGGGTTCGATTCCCGGTCAGGGAAGCTCTATTTTTCTTTTTTTTATTTTTAATTTTCCGCCCCTTTTCGCCGCCCAGCACCCCCGAGGGCCGCCCCCCCTTCTCCTCTCCCTCCGCCCACGTTGCGCGCTCCACGCACACCGCGCTGCGGCCGCATGCCCGCGCCCGCGGGGGTGGGAGAGCTGCGCGCAGGCGCGGTGCGCTGGCCCCTCCCTCACCCGCCGTCGGCGTCGCCGGGTCCCGCTCGGTGTCTGGCGGCGGGGGGG